CTTCCTGGGGCATGTGGAGAGCGCGGGGATCCCGGGAATGCGGGGATCCGGGAATGAGGGGATCCGGGAATGCGGGGATCTGGGAATGAGGGGAGCCCTGGAATGCGGGGATCCGGGAATGAGGGGATCCGGGAATGCGGGGATCCGGGAATGAGGGGATCCGGGAATGCGGGGATCCGGGAATGCGGGGATCCGGGAATGAGGGGAGCCCTGGAATGCGGGGATCCCGGGAATGAGGGGATCCGGGAATGAGGGGATCCCAGATCGGTGATCCCGGAGCGGTGATCCCGGGAATTAGGGGATCCTGGAATGCGGGGATCCGGGAATGAGGGGATTCGGGAATGAGGGGAGCCCTGGAATGAGGGGATCCGGGAATGAGGGGATCCGGGAATGAGGGGATCCGGGAATGAGGGGATCCCAGATCGGGGATCCCAGAGGGGTGATCCCGGGAATGCGGGGATCCGGGAATGAGGGGATCCGGGAATGAGGGGATCTGGGAATGAGGGGATCCCGGAGCGGTGATCCCGGGAATGAGGGGAGCCCGGGAATGCGGTGATCCGGGAACGCGGGGATCCCGGATCGGTGATCCCAGATCGGGGATCCCAGAGCCGTTTCCCGAGCGGCAGGGTCACGGTCCCGGGGCTGGGCATTCCCGGATCCGTTCCCTGCGGGATTTATCGCAGCTGGGCTTTGGGCTCCTGTGCGAGCTCCGTGTGTCGGGAGCGGCTGTCCCTGCCAGAGCTGGCTCTGCTCTCCAGCCACGGCTGCAGTTTGGTTTAGCCAGTGGTTTGGACACCCGACTGGTCTGGCTCTTCCATAAATCCCGGCACAGGGGTGTACAGCCCGAGCTCCGGGAAGCAGCTCAGGGGAAAAACTGCCCGAAGGTACAGGGAGTCTTTCCCTGAGCTCCTGAAATCCTGGGCTGCACAATCCCCTCTGCAGTCAGGTGGAAACTCATGTTCCCTACACATCAGTTTTGGGATGGATCCAGGTAAATCCTTGGGTGTGCCCTGGCTGTGCAGACCTTCCATACAGAGACCCACACAGCCTGCAGCTCGAGGAGCTGAACGCTGGCTGGTGGAGCTTGTTTGAATCGTGTCTCTGTGAGAACGAGCAGGAAAATGAACTTTCCTGGAGTGTTTTCTGTGCTCTGGTCGGGGATGCAGTGCTGGCACTGAATCCTCTGGGAGCTGCTCAGTGTGAGAGGCTGCACAGCTGCCCCTGAACCAGACCTGCTTAAGCTCAGTGTTAGACCTGCTACAGCCAGCTTAGACCAGGAGAGCCTCAAACTGGGGCAGATCAGCTTGAGGGCAAAGGAAGCCCCTAGTTAAATACTGCAGGAAGGGCCAGTTCTCGTTCCTGGAGCGCCTGTGGCCGTGGCCCATCGCCTTCCCTGTGCTCTTCCCTTGTTCCCAGGCCATGGATTCTCCCTACGCCAACGGAGCGTACAGCCCCCCGTACCCGCACTACGCCAGCCTGCCGCAGGCACGGGGCTTCTGCTGCTCGGGGCCCCCGCGCAGCCCCTACCCCACAGAGCCCGCGGGCTTCTACCGGCCCCCATCGCCCGCTCCCGCCTGGAGCTACGGCCCCCCGGAGTGTCCCCCCGAGGGCTCCGCGCTCCGCAGGCAGCAGGTCCCCGGCTACTCCCCGCCACAGGTAAGGGGAGCTCGCGGGTCCTGGCATGGGGGTCGTGGGGCCGTGGAGCTGGGGGTCCCCGTGGCTCTCGAGCACCTTGTCCTGCCTGGTTTTACTCTTAAAAAAACTGGTGGTCACCCTGAGCTCGGGCTAGGAAAGCAGGAATTGGGCAGCCAGCCTGAGCTGCAGCTGCTTCCCAGAATCCCAGGATTGCTGAGGTTGGAAAAGACCTCCAAGATCCCAGAATTTAACCTGTGACCGGTCCCCACCTTGTCACCTGGCCCAGGGCACTGACTGCCATGTCCAGTCCTTCCTTGGACACCTTCAGGGATGGGGACTCCACCACCTCCCCAGCCATAATGTTCCATTACTTTACAACCCTTTCCATGAAGAAATTCCCGATGTCCAACCTGAACCTCCCCTGGCACAGCTCGTGGCTCTCCCCTTTTCTTGTTCCTTGTTCCCTGGGAGCAGAGCCCATCCCCACTGCCCTGTCCAGCTCCCAGGGCTGTCAGAGGGTGCAGTGCTGGGGGTGACCCCAGCTGTAATTCCTGTTCCCCCCATCCTTTCAGACCCCTGGAATGCCGATGCCGCAGTACCCGTATGGAGACAGCAGTGCAGGGCTCCCGGGGCAGGGCCCGGTGCCACAGCCCCGATCCCTGGAGGACACGTGGGGTCCCCACTCTGTCTTTGGGGTGCAGCCGCGTTACGCCTGGCCCGCGGCCTCGGGCCACGGCAGCCTCTACGTGTCGGATTCACAGCCACCCTGGAGCGGCAGCGGGGCCCCTTCCCACCCTCCCACCTGGGAGTCACAGGGACAGGTGAGGTCCTGTTTGCATGCAGAAGACTTAAATCCGTGGCTGTGATTCCATAATGCACTGGAAGGACAGGATGTCCTGGGGTGGGTCTTGAAATGGGTCTGACAGGCTTTGTCTGGGTTGGATCAGGAGTTAAGAGACTCCACGTTTTTGGTCCCCAGGCAGCAGCAGCAGCCCTGATGGGGCGTTCGGGGGCTCAGACTCCTCCTCTGGACAGGTGCCCCTTGCTTTCTAACATGGGGACCAGGGCACAGGTCCCTGTCCCCAGCATCCCCAGCCCTGCTCACTGTTTGGTGCAGGATGAGAGCAGAAGCCTCCGTGTTTAAGGGAAATGCACTTAGAGATGTTCTCTCCCTCTGACTGCAGGACTCTGTCTACGACAGACCTGAGCAAAGCCCCAACCAACGCAGTTACTATTCTGATGTCAGCCAGAGGCACTCTGGGGTGAGGAACGAGCACAGGATAGCCAAGGCTGCCCCGTCCCAGCCGCGGGTGCAGTACAGTGCCCAGCCCCAGCTCTATGACCTCGCTCCACGGAAGCCCAGGAGCCGGGAGCTGGGCTTCAAACCTGCTGAGCAGCCTTCCACAAACCCTGCAGCCATGCAGCCTGAGATTCAGAGGATCCTCCACGTGATGGGGGAGGCTGAACAGCTGGAGGAAGAGGTGGAAGAATTTGTAGGGAAAAAGACAGATAAATCCTACCGGCTCCTGGAGGAGATGTTGACCAAGCTGCTGCTGGAGCTGGATTCCATTGAGACTGGGGGCCAGGACAGTGTCCGGCAGGCCAGGAAAGAGTCCGTCCACAGAATCCAGGCCATACTGGAAAAACTGGAAAGAAAGGGGCTGTGAAAGCACATGAGCCACAACACACAGCCTGTTGGTGAGGTTCCAAAGAGTTTCAGTTCTCTTAAATCTCAGCTCTTTCTGCTACGCACTATTGACAATGGAATAGCAATAAGCCCTGAGTTAACAAATCAATTCAAACCCACCAAAAAGCCAGCCCAGAAGCCCAGCCCTGACGAACAACTCAGCAAAGGACAAATTGCGAGAGGTTTGAAGCAGCAAAAGTATTTAATGAAGATGTTGAAGAGAGCTGGGCCAGGGATGGAGCCCTGTGGGGTTGTGTACAGTTCCCCAGAGCAGGCCCAATCTCTGGGTGTCTCCTACAGCTGCAGCCAGTCTTTCAACACTCATCAGCTGTGCTGCAATGTGCAGCCAGCAACCAAGACTCTGGGTTTGTCCTCACTGCCTGTAATTTCAGCTTCAGCTCCCTTGCCATAAACCCCGTGTGTCCTCACAGGGGTTGTTTGGGTTTAGTGCACTCAAGGAGCAACACTGAGGTTCTGGAGGGAGGGACTGTGCTGGCACATGTCACCTTGTGCTGTCCCTCCTGTGGTGCAGAGCCAGTGTGAGGTTCCCTGTGGGAACAGACTGGGAATCCCGGTTCTGCCACTGGAAAGGAGAAGTGCAAGTCAAGGAAAGAACAAATGCAGGATGCTTGCAAGTGATTTCCAGGTCACTTGGTTCAAAATCCCCTGTTGAATGTCCCTCTCCATCCTGCGAGTTTTGTGTCCCACTGTGCAGCACCACGGAGGGAACAGCTTGGCCTGTCCCAGCCTCCTGGTCACCACCTGCACAGAACTCACTGCTGTGTGTGACACTTAATAAACCCTGACAACTTTTAAATGTTATTTTGTAATTGAGATGTCTCAAAGCCTCTATTTCTTTAAGGAGAAGTCGTTGGGGAGGTTTTGTAACTCAGACTCAAACTCCAGCCCAGTTCCATTCAGAGGTGAATGGAACAGCTGAGAAGGCTGTTTTGGGGTGCCAGGGTGCCCCATTGCTTGCCAGGCAGTGCAGGTGCTCCAGGAGCCTCCAGCTGTGGCTCTAGGGCCAGTGGCTGAGTTGTGGAAGGGTCTGGAGGGGATTTAGGATGGCTGAGGCTGAGAGACCGTGCACCCTGCTGACAGCCAGCCGAGGCAGCCGGCAGCTCCCACATTCCCAGCCAGGGCTGTGGGCACAGGGCTGACCTTTGGAGCTTGTTGGATGTGGCTGTGGTCAGCCTGCAGCCACGTCTGAGCTGGGGGGAGGTGGATGTCCTGGGACAGGGCAAGGCTCAGCTGCTGTTTCATTTCGTGTCAGGCAGGGAGCAGCCAGGCCGGCTATTCCATGCTTTTCCAGCCTGGAATTCCATCCCCCTCCTGGGGATTGCTGGCTGTGCAGGGAGAGCAAAGCAGTTCACAGTACCCGAGTGCTGCCTTGTCACTGTGCTGGAGAAGCGGTGGTCCAGGCCCTGTGAGTGCCACCCTTCCCCCAGCAGCTGAACCCATCCAGGTAACATTCCTGAAGGACATTTCCTGTCTCTGCCTCCTTGGCAGAGGGTTATGCAAACACCTAGAGAAAAGCACAGGAGAGAACATGAAGAAGTGGCTGAAATGACAGGTTGTTGTTGCAGGGCGTGGGGATCCGAACAGCTCTGTGGCTCGGCGTGGCTGCCTGAGACACTTTGGCATCCCCGGGTGGGTTTTGTGTTTCCTCCAAAGCTGAGCTGGGGTCAGGGATTAGGCACATGTCCCACAGCTCAGGCAGCAGGATGTAACTGCATCCCTACCTGCTGCCTCTGCCGCTTTCACACAGGACCAAAGAGCGTCGCGGGTGGAGATGGTTTGATGGGGGCAGGAGCTGTGTCAGCAGCGGCTCTGCAGGCTCAGGGCTTGCAGGTGTTTGCTCTCCAGCTGCACAACCGCAGCACTGAGCACCCTGACCCTTCCCTTTGCCTCCCCAGTCCCTGCTGTGCCCGGTGAGCACCGGGACAGAGCTCCTGGCAGCTGCTTTCTCTTGCAGCATCCACCCACATCACAACACCCAAATTAGAAAGTCTGTCTCTGTTTATCGCCGGGCTCATCTCTACAGAAACCAAACTCTCCCTGGGGTTGCCCGTTGCTTCTCCAGCAGTGCTCAGAGGGTTTCTCAATCGCCACGGAGGCTGAAGTGTCACAGAGGGACTGAAAAACAAACATGAAATCAGCAGCGCGTGCTTTCTGCTGCAATCACCCCGTGCTGGAGGGTTTGCCCGTGCCGAAGTGGGCACCAGGGTGGGGTTTCCTGCACCCCAGTGCCCTGCATCCAGCTCGGGGCCATAGGGACTGTCACCCGAGCCACTGCCGAGGGCACGGAACACAGGCAGGGGTCGGGGGAAGGGATTGTGGGCAGGGGTCACAGGGATGGAACACGGGCAGGGGTCACAGGCAGGGAACACGGACAGGGATCGTGGCAGGGATGAAGGCAAAGGTGACGGGCAGGGGTCACAGGCAGGGATCGCGGGCAGGGAACACGAGCAGAGGCAGGGCTGCAGGGAGGGGCAGCAGTGGCAGGGCAGCAGAGGCAGGGCAGCAGTGGCAGGGCAGCAGGGAG